TTAATAATAATAAATTATAGCTAGTCACTCCATTGTTCTCTAGCAACTACTACATTTTTTTTTCCTGTGAACAGCATAAAGTAGAGAAGAACAAGCCCGCTTCAGAAAACAAAAGCATTCCTTCGCCTGTTCCCTCAAAACCAAACAAAAATTAGCTCCTCCTAGAAAATATTGAATGAACTTTTGGTATGTTTACCTTTCCTTCTTTCTTTTCTTTCCCCCTCAACATAACATGGGCAATAAGGTTATCACATTTTTTTCTAGTCGAGCCTAAGGCATAAGTGAAATCTTATAGAAAAGTTTTTCCCCATAAAATGCTAAATTCATTTTTTGACCTTCAGTACCTCAAACACAGAAAGATTTTCTAGTGTTAACGCACCAAATGTTCTCACCAAATGTGATTCATGCTTCTTCATGTAGTTTATAAAGTACCTTTTGCAATGAGAACAAATACTAATTCACACTGACAAAAGTTTGCTCTGTACTGAAGAAAAAAAAAGCTAAGTTAGCACTTCCTTCTAATTCTTTGTCTCTGATATTCTCTAGAAAAAGGGTCAGCAGCCTGTAGCACTTGCACAGATTTAGCATTTGGCATATCACAAAGGTTGCACAGGGTCTAAGAAAAGCAACAGCTCCTGGGTCATAATGCCAACTCTCCACCAGCTGCCCCAGTGATCAGCTAACAAGCTGTGTCTTGCCCCTTGGAAAGCATGTTCACTGAATATTAGCTCAATGCACTGGTTCTGACACAGGGAACAGAGTCACCTGCTACTGACTGACTCACTGCAGCTACTGAACAGCGTGACTTCCCCTGGTTTGTCTCCCCTGCTCCAGCAAAGTAAAGTCAGTGGCTGAGAGGTATTTTCCTTAAAGAATTCTTGAGTTGTACCTCGACTTGCGTTGTCTGGAAGGAGAATGCAATACAGGTAACCAACCACTCTAGCAAGCACTGATCACAGGGTCTTTGTGGTTTACATTACAGCACAGGTAAGGATTCAGTTTGGGTTCACATCTCCATTCAATAAGCAATTCAGATGCAATCCAAGGAACTGACCTCCCTCTGAAATACCAGATTGATGCTTTATGGTACAATCCATGTACTGCTGTTCTTCTTGTAGGCTCAGTGCTAACCAACTTACAAAACTAGAGCTATACAATAATTTGAGGAGATAATTCAAAGAACTGGCTTCACCCAATGAGCATATAGATCCAAAAACCAAATTAGCAATGCATTTTAAAACAATAAGGCAGACAGTAGCAGCCAGGTAACAATTTAAAGAATCAGTTATACTCTCATGGTAAAATGCATGCAAAGAACACATAAAAGCTATTGTAAGTATTTTTGTCTGAGGAACAGCAACATCCATCATTATAATAAGCTGTTCTCCCAGGCATACATTAATCTGGGTGTTAAAAAATTCCAAAAGGTAAGCAAAGGACTTGGGTATTTTTCCTTTGTTACTACTTTTCCCTATGACCCACCCAAATGCACACAGATAAAGAGCCAAATTTTATCTGGGGTCTTAGACAAACAAAATAGACGCAAAATTAACCCTATTTAGCTGTGCCTATGCAGGGTATGGACATCGTTTGTTCTAAGGATGTCAGCAGCCAAAGATTTTCAGTCAGCAGTTCTCACTGTCAGTCTGGAATGGGACTGTGGTTTCCAACACTTCCTCTTGCTAACACACAGAAAAGTACTGAATGGGTGCTAGGGAGCTCTGCTTCTTCAAAGGGATTACAACATCAATCCCAAGGACAATTATACCTTTCGGTGAAATTAGTCTGGCAACAGGGCATTCAATTCAACAGCCTCAAGATATATATTTTTCTTATTGAAAAAGGCAACATTTATCAAGGTATACAACATTATCATATTATACAACTAATGCCAAGCTATGTAGACTACTTTGGCATATATCCTGAGTTCTTTAAAACATCCTAAAAGTATACTTACTTACACTTATTTAAACAGGTATATCATTTTTTAATTTTTAAGCTACTGATATCAAAACTACTAGAAAGAAAGACTAGTGCATGATAGTGAAGGAAGTTCAAAGAATAATTGGAAACAACTGTATTCTGATGTCCAAAACATTTACATTGCTTGCATCAAGGAAGACCAAAGAAGAATGCATTCAACAAGTATCATCAATATTTCTGCCAAATACTTTCCATTTTTTTTTTCTTTTTTAAAATAATGCTGTACTTAAGGCAGAACAACCATCAGCTTTTTGACTTTTTTATTTTTTTTGAGAAGATGCAGAGATTACTGTTAGCTTTTTATTTTTAAATACTTGGAAAGTATTCAAATGCAATGGCAATGAGATGAAGTTAGAAAAACAGATTTTGCAAGCAGTATAATACCAGCCTAAAAGAAGGACTGCTGTATGATTCGAAGTTCCATTGAAATGTTCCATTAGAAACAAGAACTGAGAGAATGCTCAATGGTATATTTGAAGGTAAACAGTTTGTATAAAAAAACACTGGTAAACAATCGCGATTTTCAAATGTAGAAGTAATTAAATTAATTGCTCTTTGATATTAGCCTCCACATCATAATGGGCTGCTTTGATTAATTCAGTCCAAGCAAACAATTTACTTGCAACATCGTAGCATCAATAATTGCAATCAGTCAGGAAAAGAAAACATAAACATATTCCACCAATAAGTATGTAAAGTGGATGAATGAATGCCTAACTTTCTATCTGCACTTTGCTAAGAGCTCTAAAATGCTGAACTTAAGGGCAGCAGATCTAATTGAAATTCACACTGAGACAGCTACACTGTGAGGCATCAAAATATCAGGTGAAAAAACTAAAGAACAAATGGGAAAACTTTTTACTAAGATAAGCTATGTTTCATTTTTGTTTTGCCACTTCCACTTCAAAAACAATCCTCCCATGAAGTTTAAATTAATAAAAAAATTACAAATCATAAAGTTTTTTGTCATACTTGCTGTTCTTTTTCACCACAACTGTAGCTTGGGATGCTGTATCTGAGACAGGTAAATTTTCAGTATAATGTTACTGCAGAAGTCTCACACCTCACTGCCACAAATATTACTTAAAGCATTTTAAGCCATATTTGGCTTGAATTGTGGTGGCTGAGGAGCAAACACAGGTCAGCTGCTGTTGCAACTGCTACACTGCAGTAAATTCCAGCTGAAGGATGAACTGAACTGTGGTACAGTTTTAAAATGTTTTCAACTGGAGTTGTCGTAAGATCATAAGCCAGAGCTCCGAGCAATTTGATTAGAATCAGAGAGAAACAGGATTAGTGGAACTCCAGAATTAGTATTTGATGAGCTGTGTAATTCATACGTTATATTTGCATCACTACTAGCTGTAACATCTGCAGTATGAATCAACATCCATCCCCTCATGTGCCATAGCTCTGGCCTCACATGAAATGCAGATTTGTGCCAAGGTATATACTGAAAAAAATCAGAACTCTCACCATTCCACAATCAAAGAATTCATTAATGATTTGCTGCTTAAACATTTGTCAGGTCTGCTGGCAGGTTCTCATTACTTAGCCTTCATTTTAACCAACGTCAGCAGGTAAAATTTGGAGATACTCCCTTCTAGAGGCAAGACTCCATCAGTCAGTCAATTGGCAGCATCCTGTCTCTCATGGAACCCAGCATGCAATGAATGCCAAGTTCACTGAGAGAAAGGCCTCTGCCTTTCACTGGGCAGAACCTGAATTTACTTCTCTGGGAGGATACTTGCCAAATCTATTGGCATGTACCAGTTAGCAACGCTAGAGAAAATCTTGCACAGAAGGAGAGCAAAGTATTCTCCCCTCAAGCAGCTTCAGGAAGCATGCTCATCCAGATATTCCATACCCACTACTTTTGAACACTAGCACAAAGGCAGAATGCTTATGTGTATCAAGGTAGTCTCAGTGTAAAATGTCTCTTTCATACTTCTGCAAACTACAGAGGTGCCTGTTCAGGCTTTAATCATACTCAGAAAAATCTGAAGATACTTTTCCATAATGGACTGGTTAGACTTCCTGCCTAGGATTACAGCCAATTAAATAAATATATATTTTGGCTTTAAAGTAAACATAAACATTTTAAATGAACAGGATTTTTTGTTTGTTTGTTTGTTTGTTTTTGGTTTTTTTTTGTTTTGTTTTTTAGTGCTGAAAGTTTTTGTTATTGCTGTTCCCTTTTAAAACGAAGCGTTCAAAGTTTCAGTAAGAAAGCTTGAGTCTCAAACTCTCAAGCTTTATTTTAGATTTTTCTCTTTGTAATGATGAAAACACTACTTGAAACAAGCAAGATATAATGAAATCAGCTCTGCTGTGAGACAGGACTGTAGTTTTACCTGCTTCCTTCCCTTCAATTATTCCAAAGGAGAAAGACAAAGTAAGTTATATCACTATTTATAGTCAAACAAAATGATAAAGAAGAGTGCTTAGTAAACAGTAGGCAATAGAGAAAATACAGTAATTTGGAGTTACGTCTTCACTAATATCTAGTAATTCACAGGTGACATGTTACAGCTACGTGATGTATTTTATTTGACACGTTCACAGTCTTTTTAAGGTCAGTCACAAATCCAAACAGTTAGCAGACAGATTATTTAATAAAATCAAATTTATACAACTATTACTGTGAGAAGCAGCGTTTCACCTATTAATTTTTTTTCTAATACAAAACCGGCTAGTCAAATCAACACAGAAAGAAAAACAATAAATAATGAAGTTACGAGAAAATGTTTGAGATGTTATCAAAGCTATAAATACACAAAACATTTCTAATGATATTATAACGCACTCCACACGTTTTCGCTTTTTTTTTCCCCCCCTCTCCCGATATCTGCAGCTCCTAATCATTTATTCTATAAATACAGCTTAGTCGACTAAGGCTGAAATGTGCTAAGATGCAGTAACGTTTCAAATTCATACATGAAACAATTTGGAAGCTTCCCCCAGGCATTCGCGGCTGCGGCTCCCGCTGCTCTGCTACCCACAATCCCCCCATTTACCTGCTCGCTGGGCTGCCTCAGCCCTGGTCAGGAAGTGGTAAAGCTGATCCAGCTTATCAGGCTGCTCCTCCAGGGACTGCCGCTGCCATATGGCTGACCCAGGCCCTGCAGCCTCCCTCAAGGCATTCCACTTCTGTATCAGAGTGAAGAGCTCGGAGAAGGACTTGTGATAACCCTGTCGCAGCATGTCTATGCAGATGTTCTTCTTGTATGAATTCCTGTTACTGGGAATAAGAAGGACGGATTTTAAGCCTTTAAACCCATATTCTCTTCTCCACCTTACCAAATAAGTACAGATACAGCTTTCAAGACCAGATCTCTGCAGATCACCAGCAGGGAACGTTTTTTTCTTTCCTCTTCTCAAAAAGCATTCTGCCAAAACACAATTACAAATATCCCCCCCTCGGGAAGTGAACTTGGTATTAAAGAAACACCCAATTATACTTTGCAAACATGCTCAAAATGTACTGGTATCCTTCAGCTGGTACTGGTAAAAAAAAATAAGAATAATTAAAAAAAAATTAAAAAAATGCTGACTGATGGGAAAAATACATGTTTTCATTAGTTTATGAAAACACAATAAACTCTTAGTTTGCTTTAAAACAGCGCACAGGGAAAAATGTAGCAGATTCCACACGTTAAAAAGAAAAAAAAAAAGTGTATGTTAAATAGTTTTGCTGTAGGATATAATGCCTTGGTTTAAAATGTCAAACAAATGCTATGCCAGAAACATAATCATTAGATATTATTTTTCTTTTTAGCATAGAATTTCGGCTGGGACTGGTTTACTCCCTAATTTTAAAATCAAAGGATGCAATGATGAATTTATATCCAAGTTATCCCATTCATAAATTCTGATAAAATATACATATCAAAAAATTGCATAATGAAATAGTCTCAAGAGGTAATACGTCTTTTTAGGTATTATTTATGGAAATAATCCAAACATTTCTTTTATGTGGCATGAAACAATTACTGTGTCCCATCCTGGAGAAAGCTATGAGTCCAATGGGACCACCTGCATCACTGAAGTACAGATCTAAATGTCTGCAGAAGTAGGTCTCCAGTTTGAGAAAACAAATCCTTGTCCCAGTGAAATGACAGGGGCCTAGATATGGTAATTTTATTTCGCAGATTCCATTCAAGTTTTCAATATGTTTCCCAAACTGTCTTTTTAGATGAGATTCTATTTAAGTACAAATTCTCAGCGGCTATAAAATAAATATGGAATTTTGAAAACTGAGATTTACACAGTATGCAAGAAATTCAGATGATCTCACACTGAACAATACCCCAATGAGACCAATTGTCCTAGCCTACAAAGAGCTACTGTAGCTTTTTAAAATGGAATTCATATAAAAATGTCTTAACTAGATATCAATAAAGGAAAGAGTAACATGAGACATGATAAGTAAATACTCTGCATTATTTCATGTTCAGTACCATTAAAAGAAATCTACTAATTACTATGTAGATTCACATTAATCCAGCATATGTATTTCTTACACTCCTGTAGCAGAACTCAAAACAAAAACATTACACAACTCTAAAAGATACGTGAGTACTTAAAATACAGTTCTCAGTTCTGAATTTATTTGTGTGTATGTTTTGTTAAGATTAAAAACACATACTATTCATACATATAAAAGAAAACACATAACTGTTCCTTACCAGAAAACATTTGCAACATTTATCTTCAAAAACTGAGAAGAGAAATATATTAACATCCATACTTCAGTGGGCCAAAATATTTCTGGTACATCCCACGTTCACAGTATGCAGCCTCAAAATACTGTGTAGTTATATTCATATGGTGCAATTTATTCTTTACTTTTTATATGTAAGATTTATTCTTTTTAAATTTCTATTTAACCATTTATAGAAATGAAGACGACTTTTAAGCAAAAAATTTCCACCACCTTTCAAAGGATGAGAACCAAATCTTCCAGTAATAGGATTTCACAACAATGGAATAAAGACTGTATACAGATCTGCACATCTGTATTTATCTACCTACTGTGGTCTGTACATTACATATGTGTACATGTCTTAGATGACTGTATGTGCTAGAAGTAAAGAAGTAATTAGCTGCTTAAATATATTAATAAATTATTATTCATATATATATATTAATGTATTAATATTCATTCATATATTAAAAATATACATATACGTAATAAATAAAATATTGGTATGCTCATTTTTAGCTCTTAATACCCAGTACCAATATTTTGAATCAACAGAAAATCTGTGCATTTTACCTGATATCAAAGCACATTTTCTGTAAAAGACAGTGTTATCATCAAATGAATAGAAGAAAACAAACAAACAAAAATGCTGGAATATAAGTCTGTCCTAAAAATTAGTTTTACTATTCTTTTAATACAAGCCCATGCCAATTAATAAAGAGATTCAGATAGTAGTTAAGATGCCAAATGTATGGAATGCATTTATTCTTAGATAATGAGGACTGGATTGGCAACACACAAGCAATGAGACTATCTACTACTGTATAACCACTCAGATTTTGGAGGCACAAGGATGTAAGCTGTTTCCCAAAGTTATAGAATCATAGAATTGCTCAGATTAGAAAAGACCTTAAAGATTATCAAGTCCAATAACAACCTGACCATGCTACCTCTAACCCAGCACTAAATCCTGTCCCTGAGCACCACATCCAAACAGTTTTTAAACACATCCAGGGATGGTGACTCAACCACCTCCCTGGGGAGACCATTCCAGTGCTTAACAACCTTTTCAGTAAAGGAGCGTTTCCTGATATCCAAAAAGCAAAATAGTACATTTGTTTCCTTTAAGAAGTTTAGGACATAAGATGTGACTGATAATACAGAAAGTATAGAGAAAGGGCAGAAACGAATGATATGGGGATGAATGTTACGGGTGAAACCTCCTAAATGAGAGTTTGGCACAGTAACCAATTCTGAATTTGTTTCAGTTCTCTCAGTGATTCCAGACAAAAATCCTCTCCAGAAAGCAGCGCTTTTAGCCAGAGTGGTGCAGGTGACAGAAGCAAAGGTCAAGAAGAACTTTTCATGGTACCTTGAAATAAACCATGCATTGTCAATAATCAACATGCTTTTCATATCTTTTCCTATAATATCACACAGCATGTGAAGTGAGATACATTGCTGCAGATAACTTTATTCTTGATATCAATATCAAAAACAGATACCTAATTAGATGTCCATGATTTATTTTATAAAGTCCAGCTGTTAGCTTTACGTTTCCTCTGCATTAATAAACCAGGTTATGCTAAACCTTTTGGCTTTCTATTTTTTACACTAATTACGATATATTAAGAAATAGAGAAGTTTACTTTATCGCACCCACCCGATTTTAGGCTTCTTTCGAACAATTATGTTACTCGGAGAAGGAAAATGAAAGAAGACTGCCCTTTTATTTGGTTGAAGCGGAGACGTTCAAGGGGTTTAATGGTCTCTGGGGGCATCTACTGGAAATGTGGAAAACTGCAGTCACGACGCGTTAATCACGCCGCTGTCAAAGCGACGAGGCACGGCCGCAGAACAAAGGGAAGAGCCGCCCCGCTAGCAGCCGGAGCAGCGACTTTATGTTTAAAGCTGAGAGCAATGGTTCTGTTTCTAATCTAAATCACACACATTTCTTTTTTTCCTGAATCCATTTCGATCGACAGATGATACTTAACACACAGAAGATGCTGGGAACCCACTGCTCACCTGCCCACACGCTGGTCTCCGTTGATGCTATCAGATGTTTATTTATGCAGGTCGGGTCACACAGTGACGTGAGGTCCGCTTAGCGATCTGGTTGGGTACTATACATTTGGCATACGTGCAGTTACTGTGATGCAGTATTTTATAGCTACTTAGATAATTTCCTTTTATGGACTTGTTTTATTTTTGTTGTTGCTATTCTAAAACTATCCGGAGCCACCCTGAGGAAACTGATTTGAGCATAGAAGCCTGACTCTAATCTGTACTTGCTTATGCAAAAATCATAAACGCCCATGTTCACTGAAGCTAATGAAACAACACTGCTGCTGCAATCTCAGGCATCTGCTGGTACCGTACTGTTACAGGACTCTTAAGTAATGCTTGGAGACTGGGAGTGCCATCCCTTAACTGCTAGTCCTATGGCATTCTGCCCTTCACAGAGAGAAAAGGAGACAGAAATTAAGAGGCCACGAGACAGGTGCTGGTAATAATCAGAACACTCAACATGTCATGTCACAACAGAATTTGTTACCGTGAGCTTACATCTCCAGGCCTCCCACCTGGAGTGGTCAATGGCAACATGCAAAATAGATACAGAAGGCTACGGTTGGGTCACCATCCCTGGATGTGTTTAAAAACTGTTTGGATGTGGTGCTCAGGGACATGACTTAGCGGAGGGTTGTTAGAGTTAGGGTAGCATGGTCAGGTTGTGATTGGTCTTGATAATCTTTAAGGTCTTTTCCAACCTGAGCAATTCTATGAGTCTATTTTTTTTTAAACAAGGATTGTTTCTTTAAATTTGCTAGGATTTAACAAGTACTGTAGGTTCATGTCAGATGCTGACTACAGTACAAGTACTGTAACAATTTCATTTTCTAAAGCAGAAAATGGGATAGATTAAACAATGAGAGTATGTAAAATTGAAAAGCATTAACAGTTTCAAATAATTACTACACCAATTATTGTAATGTTTAGAAACTGTATTCAAAGACATTTCATTAACTTGTTTTTTTTTTGCGAGCCAAGCCCTCAGTGCTTAACAAACTTTCCCCACACACTGCTAACAATACAGAGCTGTTTAACTGAAACAGGACACAACCCTCTTTAATCCTAGTTTAAGGACTGCCTGCTTAAATACTTTTAATGAAATAAGGTAATCTCATTTAAGAAAAATACGAAAGTACGGTAAATGCTGTTAAGCAGTAATAGACAGTAACATGAGCATTTTTTATTATTAAATCTGAGATATACATGATATTGGGGTCAGGTGCACGTTTTTAATTCCCAAACTATGAAGACAAAATAGCTGATGTCCTACAATTAAAAGCAACAAATTAAACAAGTGTTATAAGCAGAGGTCTCTACTCTGATGAGTAAATAAGAAACATACCATGACAAATTATGCATACCAGGATAGATACTATTTTCTTGGAACTGACTCACGCAAAAATTCCAGTATATAAATGTTTTTTCAACAGGATAAGGTTTATGGAGGTATGTATTCACGACTG